TCAATGAGGAGGACGAGACCTTATACATGGCGAAGTTGGAAATGGGTGAGGAGGTCCGTCCATGGTTGGCACACTACCTGGCAATCCCAGGTACCACCCCTGACTGGTTGATTGCTGGAGTCAAAATTCTGAGACGGAGTTTAAACTTTGAGGCACAGGGGTGGGAGACTTTTGTATGTAGCAGGTTGGACCCTACAACACATGACAACACCCTTCCTCTTTCCCGGGCTGTGTTAGTGGCTTCTATCATGGAAGGGTACCGCATCAACGTGGGGAATGTGATGTCCAGAATCATTTCTATAGTGGGTGCGGAGCATGACCGGAACTATCCTTTCCCCAGCACCCTCACTATCTACTTCCGGGACTTGAAAGTGGACAAGAAGCCCTTCGATGTCAAAGTCAAAGCAAAGGCTCCTTTTTCCTGGTATAGCATGCAGGGGGATGACAAACCCAAGAGCAAGAGCTTCAAGGGTACAGCTACTACTACAATTGGCCAGTCTGAAGAGCCAGTCGTGGTAGTGGCTCCTGCTGAGCCTACCTCCACTTCCACAGATGTCCTTCCCGGTCCATCCACATCCACAACCATTCGTGCTGGCCCATCCACCTCAGCAGGCTCGGAGATTCCATCTTCCCGGGCCCATCCTATTACGGCCCACAGATTGAGCCAGGCACTTATGAGTATCAACAACTGGATGCAGACTGCCTCATCCAAGTTGTCCATTTTGACCACTCTTGATGCTCTTGTGTCGCACTTGATCCATGGTTTTTCAAAGAGTAAATGTTGTTAATGATTCATTCGTATTGAGGGCAATTGATATTCCCAATTGAGGCTAGTTGAGGTCGCTTTAGGACGGCTAAAATTTTTCTTGAACTTTCTCTTAAGGGGTGGGTCTTATTTTGTTTGCTTGAGGACAAGCAAAAGCTTAAGTTTGGGGGAGTTGATAGCCAGGGATTTTGACGCATTTTATACTCCTTCTTGCTTATGCTTTGATCAAATATTCATACAAAATAGTCCCAAAAGGCTTACAAGTTGTGCTTGATTGCAGGGTTGATCAACAAAGTGACAAAATGTCAAAGATCGGCTCAAAAGGAGTGAAACTTGCACAAGTGCCAAAGACAAGGCAAGCTCAGGCAGAGCAGGCCCAGTGCGGCCGCACACCACTTTGTGTGGTCCGCACTGGGAGATTCAGAGAGTTGAATTTCAGGCTTCAAGGCAATGCAGCCGCACACCATTTTGTGCGGTCCGCACTAGAGGCAACGCGGCCGCAGTCCATTCTCTGCGGTCCGCGGTGCCAAGATTCAGAGAGGTTGCATTTTCAAGTTTTAAGCCTCCGCGGTCCGCGGTCAATTTTGTGCGGACCGCACTAGAAGCCTCCGCGGCCGCGGTCCATTCTGTGCGGTCCGCGGAGCCCAAGTTCAGAGAGATCAATTTTGAAGACCAAAGCCTAGTGCGGACCGCGGTCCATTTTGTGCGGTCCGCACTAACCCCGCAGGGGCATTTTTGTCCAGATTTTTCAGCTTAGTATAAATAAATTTTTTTTTTCCATTTTTAGGGCATCAGATATTGTAATACGTAAGCTGCGCTCTTGATACGATTTTTCTTAGCCATTTTGGGAATTTTTACTTACTTTTCACCATTGAATCTTTGTATTTAGCTTAGCAATTAATTAATATGTGTTTATCTTCATCTATTTCTTGTTTTTCTTCTTTGAATATGAGTAGCTAGACCCTATAGCTAGGGTTGTGGCTCAACCCTAGTGTGGGTAATTGATGGGTCTTGTATTTTAGGGCTAATTTGACTATGGGTGTTTGTTATTTGGCCCAATTTCATGGTTAATTTCTGAATTAGTGGTTGCAAACACTAGTTTGTGTTGAGTTGACTTGAGCTCTTCTTGAGAAAGAGAGCCTAAGTCTCCGAAATTGGTCCAACAATGAATTGGGGCGTACTCAAGAGATTGATAGCCCCAATTAAAGGGTTAATCCTCGAGAGAGTAATACCCGAATTGAACCCTAGTTGTTTGTGCAAATTTGCATGCCCAATTGGTCTTGAGAAAGCCAATTTGGAAAAAATCACTCGAACCACCGAGAGGTGTAGAGTGGGTAAAGTCGTGCAACGGTTATAACATACTCCCCAAGCGTGTCAAATATGCCTTAAATTCAAGTACCCGTCAATTGACCACCTAGGCGGTAGTCACTACCCTAGTGCCTTTTAAACCATTAGATACAACTTGCAATATTTAACTCTTAGCTTAATTTAAATTTTGTAGTTTGTTAAAAGTATAATTATAAGGAAAACCCCAAAAATGTTGAGAAGTGCAATTAAGAACACATATGCATTCCTAAACTAGATAGATACTCGACTCCAATTCTAGCTCTCTGTGGATATCGATCCCGACCCAAAATCGGGTAAATGCTATTGCGACCCTCTCTTGCTACTTTTTAGTAGTGCGGAGTTGGCAGCGATCACTACCTCCTCCCTCAACTGTCTGCAATCCTCTGTTTTGTGGCTGTGAGTGCCATGATATTTGCACATCTTGTTTGGATCCCTTTGGGATGGGTCGGATTGTAGAGGTCGGGGCCATTTGGTATCATTGATGCATTTGATAGCCGATACGATAGCAGCAGCATCTACGTTAAAGTTATATTCTGACAACCTCGGTGCTTCTTTGGGTCTGATAGGCCTGTGGAAACCATTCTTGCTCATGAATCTCCGGTCGCTTTGGCCTCAGTCGTTTCTTCTTTCATTTTGTATAGAACTCTGATTGCTTCTTCGATCCTCATTGTACGGCTTATATCGATCCATGTTCGACCTTGGCTCAGAATTGATATCTCTCTTGACTCTGTCGACGGGTCTAATAGGATAAATGGACCCGGAAGGAGTCTCCAATTGATCATCCTCGACTCTGATCTTTGATTGATATCGGTTATGCATATCGTCCCAAGTGACAGCCGGATATTCTATTAGATTCTGCTTTAACTGCAGTGAAGCCATCGAACTTCGAACATTGAGTCCTTCGGTAAAAGCTTGAACGGCCCAATCATCAGCGGCTGGAGGCAGGTCCATCCGTTCCATTTGAAATCGAGATACGAACTCTCTGAGCATTTCATTATCTTTTTGCCTCACTTTGAAGAGGTCTGATTTTTGGTTTCGACCTTGATAGCCCCAGCGTGTGCTTTCACAAAAGAGTCTGCAAGCATAACAAATGAGTCAATAGAATTAGGGGTAAGTTGTGATACCATATCATGGCTCACTTTGACAGGGTTTCTCCGAATTTCTTTAGCAAGGCAGACTCGATCTCATCATCCTCCAAGTCGTTTCCTTTGATGGCGCATGTGTATGAAGTGACATGCTCATTTGGGTCGGTCCTTCAGTTGTACTTAGGAATCTCGAGCATGCGGAATTTTTTAGGGATCGGCTTTGGATCCGCACTCAGAGTGAAAGATTTCTGTACAAACTTCTTGGAATCCAAGCCTTTCAATATCGGCGACGCTCCCAGGAATTGTAGGTTTTCACCTTTTTGTCATTTGCTTCGATTTTTTTTTTCCCTGATTCTATTTGTTTTGTCAGCTCCTCAAGCATTTTTATGATCTCGGGGTTGTTGCCTGATTTTTTCCCGCTCTACCTTTCCGCGATCAACTCCTCCCTGCGAGCGATCTCTCGAGATAGGTCTGGCTCGATCCTACTCGAAATGCGGCTCTGGTTTTATAACTGAGCTATTGGTGCCATTTGAGCCTGCAAGATCATCCGTAGATTGACCCCGTCTCCTTCATTGTTTTGAGTATTCTGTGCTATCGACCGAACTCCACCACGGATGCTATTCTCGGGGTCAGTAGAGAGGCTTGTGTCGATAGCCACATGCGAATTAGCATCCAACAGGTCCGCAATTGGAATTCCGACGGGATTAACGGGTGGTACCTCGTTATCGGGCGTTGTGTTATTGTTTTCACTGTGTTGACCAGACTCACTGTCAGTAGGTAGGAGTGCTAATTGTGAGTTTGACATTTTGAGCTTAAGACTGAAATCAAAGACACTTCAAAGAACAAGTGAAAAATAGTGTATCTTTTGGCAATTCGTATCAAATAACCACTATTATCTTTAGCCCCACGGTGAGCGCTAAACTGTTTACCCTTAAAATCGGATAACAATTGAATTTATAAGTAGTTTTAAGGACACGTGGATTAATGTGACACAAAGCGATAGATTGGATTATAAATAAAGCAAACAATAATAAAATAAATTCAAACCGTGTGACTTGAACAATTATAACCTTGAGAAAATAGACCTCACTCGAACTGAATGTGATTCAAATGATGTTAAATATAGAAGAACAGTAGCTTGCAGAAAGAAAATAATATTATAAAGCTTTGGGATATGTGTTACAATGTGTATTACAAAGAATCAAACTCCCATTTATATAGTAAGGGAGTCCTGCTTTAGATACATTTCTATAAAAAGTAAGAAATGTCATGATTTTCTAATTAATCGGTCTCTCATTGATACGTGCCGAGATTCCCTCCGTGATATCCGACCAGTTGCGAATATTTCAGCTTCTGTTCTTGGGTCCAATAACGTTTCCTCGAGCTTATACAGAATCGGGGCCGGTTCCGGAGTCATGGGCTCGAAGATCTTGGGGACGTATGTTCAGATACTTTGGTTCGATGAACTTGGGGTCAATCTTCAATCCATCACGTTTTGGTTCCGATCCGTCACGCAATAGATGAGCCCGGTTTCGACCGTATACAAATAGTATCATATTCATACTTGTTATTGTACTAATATTAGTAAAAGGTCCTATATGTCCAGAGGTAGAGAACAAACTTAAGAATAATAAGAATATGAAAGCCAAGTTTCCTTAGTAAAAGAAAATGATCCGTTGTTAAGTTACGTTCCCTCCTGTCACACACTTGTCCGGACACTGTCACCCTCTCTATCTACATTCATTTTCACAGAATCTCTCCTTCAATTCCTTTCTCTCTCTCTCCACAATTTTCAGCTTGTAATAGGAAACTTATGTAAATTGTGTGTGACATGGGAGAATCGACCAAGTCACCGATTTCGGCCGCAAAATATTATGGCATTCTTGGAATCTCAAAATCTGCATCCCTCCCAGATATTTGCAAAGCTTACAAACATCTTGTCAAGAAATGGCATCCTGATAGAAACACGTCCAACCAAGCTGAAGCCGTAGACAAGTTTAGATCCATCAATGAGGCCTACAGGGTACGTACGTAACCTCACATATATGCCTCATTTGTTACAAGTAGAGTTGAAAAGATTATACATTGCATTTAATTCCTTGGAAAGGTTTCACATTAATTATTCTATTGCCATATATAATAATGTGAGAATTGCAAAATCTGCAGGTTCTTAGCAAGAAAAAGAGAGACGAAGAAAACTTATTGAAAAGTGATGCGATAAAAACACCCCGAAAGAGTTCAGATGAGGATGAGCTACAAATTTCAAGCCCCACGCTTCTTTCGAGAACGACCAGTCGGATCAGTCCAACAGTAGATTTTTACACATCCATGCCATGTTTCTCGATGAGTGGAGCCAGCACTCCCACAACTCCTGGCACCCCAATATCAGATCAGACCCCAAACCTATTCAAAGTAGCGAGCAAAAGAAACACAGCCCCTATCATTTTTTCCCAGTCGACTTCCAGGAGAAAGCCTCAGCCAATCGAGAAGAAGCTTGAATGTACCCTTGAGGAGTTGTGCCATGGATGCGTCAAGAAGGTCATGATTACAAGAGATGTCATTGCAACCACAGGGTATGTATTAATCTAACTTAATTTCCTTTCCAACCATAGGGCATTTAACGTTTTCAAATTAAATACAGTCAAACATCTCTATAACAGTCTCGTTTGTTGCGAATTCTTTTGGCTGCTATAGTGAAAGGCTGTTATAGAGGACATATATTATAACATAGTATAATATTTGGTTCCGAGAATAACTCGACTTTTATAGTTAATGGCTATTATATAGGGATATTATTATAGAAAGGTCTGACTGTATATAGTTAGTGAAATCATGATGGTGATGTTTCTGCAGGATTATTGTTAAAGAAGAGGAAGTTGTAACAATAAAGGTAAGGCCAGGATGGAAAAGAGGAACAAAAATTACATTTGAAGGTAAGGGGGATGAGAGACCAGGCACGCTTCCAGCTGATATAGTGTTCTCGATTGATGAGAAAACACATCCATTGTTCAAGAGAGAAGGAGATGACTTGGTGCTTGGAGTTGAAGTCCCTCTAGTCCAGGCTCTCACAGGTTGTATAATCACTGTACCTCTTTTGGGTGGAGACGAGATGACTATGTCATTTGACCAAGTTATTTATCCAGGTTTTGAGAAAATCATACCAGGCCAAGGCATGCCTAAACCTAAAGAAGACAGTAGGAGAGGGGACCTTATTCTTCAGTTTCTTGTCGGATTTCCTTTAGATCTAAGTCAGGAACAAAGGTTCCAGGTTGTTAGCATACTAGAAGATTGCTCTTGATGATGATGCTAATTAATTCGAGGGTTATTCTTCATGTACCTTCTATAATTAGAGATCGTAGGAGATTCTTATGGTCCAATTTCTTGTCCAATTTAATTTACTTTTGATTTGAATGAGGAACAACGGCCACATGTTATTATTGTAGTAGAAAAACTGGTCTTAGACATATATTCATAGGGGGTCTGTTCTTTTCATGTGTTCTATATATAAAGATGGTAGTTGTGCTCCAATTTATTGTCGAATTTTCTTTAGACTTGAGCGAGGAACGAAAGCCTTGAGTAGAGGTGTTAATGAAAAATCCAAAAACCGAATCAAATGGACAAAAAAGTCGCTATTCTTTTGGTTTTGAATTGTAAAACCTTATCAACATTGATTTGGTTTTGGTTTTAATAAAAAAATAACCGAGAAAAAATCGAACCAAACTGACTGTAGATTTGCCTATCTTTAGGGGCGGAGCAAGATTGAAGAAAGGGGAGTCTATTTCTCTTTCGCCAAAAAAAAAAAATTAACGTGTAAATATGATAAATACCAATTTTAAAAAGAAATATAGGGATTTGGCGACAGACGATTGGAGACGACTGATCACGAAGCCATCTCGAAGCCTTTCATGACTGCTCCGACAATTGGCCAGCCTCCTCCTGAGGTTGGTCAGTCATCAAACACCCCTCACAATCACCCTTAAACACTACAAGCCCTAATTCATGGCAAAATTATGTGCAACTTCTATAACCCAAAGCATTAAATGCTCCCATGCAAACCCTAGCCCATGTTTCTATCAACCCTGTAGAATATCTTCATGGGGAACATACGTGAAGGCTCGACGTATGGTCGAGAAGTGTTTTTTGGCGTATTTGGCCTATATCCGTGATTCCAGTGCGAAGGTTCCTTCCATGGATTAGGTTCTACTTGTGCGTGAGTTCCCAGAGGAATTTCCTACAACTTGAAGGGCATGCCACCCGATAGAGATATCGACTTCTACATTGACTTGGTTCCTGGCACTCAACCCATTTCTATTCCATCATACTGTGTGGCCCTAGTTGAGTTGAAAGAATTGAAGGAACAGTTGTAGGATTTGCTGGATAGGGGAGGGGATTCATTAGATGGAGTGTCTCGCCTTAGGGTGCACCAGTGTTGTTTGTGAAGAAGAAGGATGGATCAATGAGGATGTGCATAGATTATCGGCAGTCGAACAAAGTCACTATTAAGAACAATTATCTGTTGCCGAGGATTGATGACTTATTTGACCAGCTTCAGGATGCCAAGGTCTTTTCCAATATTGATTTGAGATTTGGATACCATCAGGTGAATTTGGGGTAGCGGATGTCTCTAAGTCACCTTTTTAGACTCGATATGGTCACTACAAGGTTTTAGTGATGTCATTTGGCTTGACTAATGCCCCAGCAACCATTAGGGATTTGATGAATCGATTGTTCAAGCCCGATCTGGATTCCTTTGTGATTGTCTGAATTAATGATATTTTGGTTTACTCCTGTAGTTGAGAGGAACATGAGCAATATCTCCAGATCGTTCTTCAGACTTTGAGGGATTGCCAGTATATGCCAAGTTTTTTGAAGTGTGAGTTTTGGTTGGACTCAGTTGCCTTTTTGGGACATGTTGTATCTTCTGATGGAATTAATGTGGATCCTAAAAAGATTGAGGCAGTTCAGAACTAGCCTAGACCCACTTCAACTACAGAGATTCGGAGCTTCTTAAGTTTGGCAGGTTATTATCGCCGGTTCGTGAAAGGGGTTTTCATCTATCTCAACCCCATTGACTAAGTTGAACCAGAAAGGTGCTCTTTTCAGATGGTCCGACGAGTGTGAGGCACGCTTTTAAAAGCTCAAGACTGCATTGAATACAGCCCCAGTGTTGGTGTTGCCTACAAGTTTGAGATCTTACACTGTTTATTGTGATGCATCGCATATTGGGCTTGGTGAACTATTGATGTAGGACTGTAGGGTGATTTCCTATGCGTCTCGACAGTTGATGTTTCATGAGAAAAATTACCTTGTGCATGATTTAGAGTTGGCAGAAATTGTTCACGCACTGAAGATTTTGAAGAACTATCTATACGACATTCCATGTGAGGTCAATATCGACCATCAGAGTCTCCAACACATGTTCAAGCAAAAGGACCTTAATTTGTGGCAGTGGAGATAGTTGGAGTTGTTGAAAGACTATGATATCACCATATTATATCATCCGAGGAAGGACAATATAGTGGCTATTGCATTGAGTAGGAAGGCTGAGAGCACAGGCAATTTGGCATATTTACCGCTAGCGGAGAGGCCACTAGATATAGATGTTCAGGATTTGGCCAATCGGTTCATGAGATTGGATGTTTCGGAGCCTAGTCGGGTTCTTGCTTATGTTGTGGCACAGTCTTCATTGTTGGAGCGTATCAAGGCTCGCCAGTTTGATGATCCTCACTTGTTGGTGCTGAAGGACATGGTGCAGCGGGGTGGTGCCAAAGAGGTTGTGATTGGAGCTTATGGTGTTATGCTACTTCAAGGCCGGATTTTTGTTCCAAATGTTGATGGGTTAAGAGAGGTTATCCTTGAGGAGGCTCATAGTTCGCGCTAGTCACGAAGATGTACCATGACTTGAAACAACATTATTGGTGGCGGAGAATGAAGAAAGATATTGTTGCTTATGTCTCTGGGTTTTTGAATTGTCAACAGTTGTAGTACGAGCATAAGAAATCTGGTGGGTTGATACAGAGATTGCAGATACTGAAGTGGAAGTGGGAGCGCATCACCATGGATTTTGTGGTAGGCTTACCACAGACCTTGAGGAAATATGACACAGTCTGGTTATTATGGACCAGTTGACTAAGTCCCCACACTTCATTCCGGTGATGACTTTCTAATTTTAGAGCGGCTGGCTCAAATTTACATCCGGGAGATTATCCACTTGCACGACGTGCGCATTTGCATCATTTCTGACTGAGGCACGATTTCACATCACATTTTTGGAGAATTGGGCAAGCGAGTCGAGGGAGTACCGCGTTTCATCCTTGGACAGACGGATAGTCTGAGCGCTCTATTAAGATATTGGAGCACATGTTACGGCTACGCTCTATGGATTTCGGGGGTCGGTGGGACCAGTATTTTCCTTTAGCAGAGTTTTCCTACAACAACAACTATCAGTCGAGTATCCAGATGACTCCGTAAGAGGTCTTATATGGGAGACGATGTCGTTCACCGATTGGTTGGTTTGAGTCCGGTGAGGCTAGATTGTTGGGCACTGATTTGGTCTGTGATGCTTTGGAAAAGGTTAAGGTGATTCAGGAGCGACTTCATACAGCTCAGTCTAGGCAAAAGAGTTATGTGGACCGGATGTTTCGAGATGTAGCTTTCATGGTAGGTGAGAAAGTTCTTCTCTGAGTGTCGCCATGAAGGGCGTGATGCAGTTTGGGAAGAAGGGAAGATTGAGCCTGAGGTTTATTGGCCCATTCGAGATCTTGGAGAGAGGTGGAGAGGTTGCTTATAGGTTTTCATTACCTCCTAGCCTTGGAGAGGTACATCTAGTATATCATTTTTCTATGCTTCGGAAGTACCATGAGGACAGATCACATGTTTTGGACTTCAGCACGGTGCAACTTGATGAAAATTTGACCTATGAGGAAGAGCAGGTGGCTATTCTAGACCAGTAGGTTCGTAAGTTGAGATATAAGAGTTTTTCTACTGTGAAAGTTCAATGAAGAGGTCAGCCAATTGAGAAGGCTACGTGGGAGTTCAAGTCCGATATGCGGAGTAGATACCCCCACTTTTTTTACCAGTGCAGGTACTTTTCTATGTCCATTGGAGGATTAACATTTTATTAGAGTGGAAAAATGTGATGACCAAATAGGTAACTTGAGTACCAGCCTTAATTTATGTGTTTTGAGACCTATTGTAGATTCGTTTCATGTTTATTGACCTGCATGCATGGTCCGTGTCATTTTTCAGAAAGCTTTTACGTAAAATTTTGACAAAAATGAGATTTTGACTTAAAATAATTCTAGAGTTGACCACGGTCAATATTTTTGGTAAATACTCTGAATCGGTGTTTTGACGATTCCGGTAGGTTCGTATGATATTTTTGAATTTGTACACACGTTTGATTGGGTCTGGGGTTACCCAAACGCATTTTGGCGCATTTAGTGAAAGATTGTGAAAAATGAGTTTTTAGTTGAAATTCTAGAGTTTTGATGATCGATTATTGTTATTTGGTGTTATTTTGATAATTTGAGGTAACGAGCGAGTTTGTATGATATTATTACACTTATGTGCATAGTAGATTTTGAGCCCAGGGGGCTCGGGTGAGTTTCGGGTGTATTGCGAAATGTTTTAGGAGTGCTGATGCTTGTTGCTGGTGTTTCAGCTCTGCAGGTCTCACATTTGCGATGACCTAATCGCAATTGCGAGTCCTACTTTTACAAAGTTGGACTCGCAAATACGATATTTGGGAAGGGCTGTTGACTTTGCAAATGCGAAGATAGGATCATATTTGCGTACTGTGGGTGGTCACATTTGCGACCTTGGAGTTGTTTTCTCGACTTGGAGCTGGAGGCTGGCAGCTTCGCAAGCTTCGTATTTACGATGAAGGGCTAATCGCATTTGCGACGTCTGAATGTCTGATGCACTGATTACATTTGCGATCAGTGTCTCGCAATTACGGACATCACAATTGCGATGCGACATCTGTAGTAGGGCAAAAGATTGGAAAATCGGAACTTTTCTCATTTTACACCATTTTTCACCCTATTCTCTCTAGAGGCGAATATTGAAGAATTTTTTCTCCCCAAAATTATTGGTAAGCATCTCTAACTACTTACAATCAATTTTAATAATTTTTTATTAATTTTAAACATCAAATCTAAGAATTTCATGGTAGAAATTAGGGGTTTTGGTTATAATTTAGGGATCTTGAAAATTTTAGATTTAGACCTCAATTTGAGGTCGAATTTCAAAATCAATCACATATCCGGACTCGGGGGTGAATGAATAATTGGATTTTGATCTGAAACTCGAATTTAGACCAAGCGAGTTTAGGGTTGACTTTTGTTGACTTTGTCAAAAACGATAAAATTGAACTTATTCCATTCGTGGGTAGTTTCTAAAGCTTAATTTGGATTGTGTAATTGATAATTGACTAGATTCGGTTGGTTTGGAGGTTTGTTTGAA